GTCGCTAGTGACTACTGTCTCTCCTACTTTTCCCCTGTCCACGTCATAATAGTTAGCCAAATAGCCAACCATTGTGGACGCCCTAATACTTGCATAAACCTCGTACGATGCACGAGACAGAGATATTAAATAATTTATTTTCATAGGGTCTGCCTGTTTAAGTTCAAATATAATAGAGTTATCATCTATTTTTTCACTTCTTTTAATCAACATTATAATCTATTTCCACCTATTTTCTTCAACATTGTTTCTTCAACTATGGTATGCTAGCTTGTAAAATAATTAATATATTATACCATTAACACATTTATACTAATATGAATTTGAATTTAATATATATATATCCTTGGTATAAGATTAAATAACAATTTTACTTGTTCTTGTTCACTATATAATACTTAATTATTATTTTATTATAAATTTTGTTGTTATATAATGGCATTATTATTTATTAAAATTATAGAAGTTTTATGTCTTATTTTTCTTTTAATTTTATGTGATGAAAAATATTTATGGCACATTAGTAATATTTATTTATTTAATCAACTTAAAATATGTAAATAAACTTAAAATTAAATAATGTACAAATATTTTCAAAATATACACACATAATTTTTTAGAATTTAATTTTGTATACTAATTAAACAACTTTGATTTATCTTAAAATATGTTGTAATATTTATCTTGACCAAAATATTATCAGCAAGAATCACGGATAATCAATCTTGTAGTTTATTATAATGGATATCAATGAAATTATTGCAGATATTAATAAAATTATTTAAAGAAACAATATTTTTTATCATATCTGATTTGATTTTATTTGAAAATGTATATTAAAACAATTAATGGATACATTTAAAAAGTTTCCAAAGAAAGTAAGCATTAAATGCTACAAAATTTTTACTACCATTTTTAATGAATGATTATTCTTATTATATATACTAGTTTTTTACCCGTGCATTTGCACGGAAAACTATATGATAAAGGAAAAAGTAAAAATGAAAACAATAGTAAAAAAAATAACATGGTCATTGATAACTCGGGTTCAACAACAAAAATCTAAAATCTAAATATTATTAAACACATCTTTATATACAACGTTCGTGATTTTCCTATCGTCAAAATCTCCATCACCACTGATCATTATCTTCAGACCCCTTCGATTCATGACTCTAGATAGTGCCACATACAACTGTCCATGACTGAATACAGGGTTCTTCAATAGTAAGCCGACGTGTAAAAGTGACTGGCCTCGACTCTTGTTGATAGTCATAGCATACGAAACCATGAGCGGAAATTGTCTGCGTTGAAATTTGAACGGTACTATCAAATCGGATGGTATGATCGTGAGCCTAGTAATAAGAACTTTGTCACCAGCTCTGGCATCAGTTAAAATCTTGCATTCGAGGACATGGCTGCTGAGCTTAGTGATAACCAACCGTGTACCTGTTGACATCAAAACTCGGAAACAAAAGCATATCACTCAAATTTGTACAATGATAAAAAGAAATATAGACGACAAATGAATTTTGATGAACATTACCGTTACACAACCCCATGGAGTGATAAATGTTTCTGAGAAGCATCACCGGAGTGCCGACCTTAAGGTGCAGTTTATGATTCGGAAGTCCAGAGCACTTGATCTCATTGAGAAATTCAGGAGAGTGAAGATCCTGAAGAGAATCATATCCAGCATCTGACCTGCACGCGGTATCCGAACTCAAATAAGTCCTTCCCTCAGATGCGTTCATCGAGCTCATGTAATCGTTAACGGACTCAACCACATCAAGTGTGGGAGCGAGTATGGCTCTGTCCTTTAGGTAGCTAAGATCATCACTTGCACTCCTAAATATCGGGTAGGTACTCTCAACAATAGTACCAATAGGATCCCCTTGTGAGTGTAGAAGAATATCGTCGGGGATGTCGATATCGGCACAACCGTCGTTCGATCCACCAACTGTACCATCACCGATGTTTGCAAGCCACTCAGAGAAGCGCCTCAACTCATTGTACTCATCACCCCCACCAAGACTTCGAAGCCTCATATTCCGAGTCAGTCTCAGAACAATACAATCACACCACAACTTGGATGAATTGATGGTGGCGTTAACTATGTCGCTCCGACTGCCTTTAGGGACAACAGGGAGTATCTGTCTGAAATCCCCACCTAACACAACACACTTGTCGCCAAATGGGAGATTTTTCTTCGATGGATCAACTGCTTTCATTAAGGCACGCAAGGTGTTGTCAACTGCCTGGAAGCAATATTTGTTCATCATCGGAGCTTCATCCCAAATGATCAACCGACATCGTATGATGAGTTCGGCCAAAGGACTCTGTTGGCTAATATCACATGTTGAGCCTTCCACTGGATTTAGTGGGATTTTGAATCGTGAATGCGCAGTTCGTTCGCCGGGCAACAAAAGTGATGCGATACCGCTCGATGCAACGTTCAACACAATCTCACCTTTCGTTCTCAAAGAAGAAGACAACGCCCTCCAGACATACGTTTTACCGGTGCCGCCGTAACCATAAACTAAAAACATGCGGCTGTAAGTACCATGAGAATAATAATACTTTGATATGTAATTAATGATCAGAGCTTTTAGAGGAAAACATAAATGAGCATGCTTTCAACATGTCGTTGAAAACTTCTTCACACGATTTTCCAATTAATTCTCTAGCAACTTTATCCCAACACAGCAGTAGTACAATGCCATTGTCGTCCACAATTAAATATGGAGCTTGTTCTTTTAAAATTTAAAAGTAATATATTATTATATCATATAAATATGAACGATAATAATGTAATGTGAAATACAATTACCTAAGTATCGCAAAAGGGATCGAGTCCTTGCAATAATTGCACCAAAATTTATCTTCTTTTGGCTCCACTTTTCGAACACAATTGGGGCAAGATTTGAAGTACCAATTGTCGGATACGTCAATGATGTTTCCATATATCCAAAAATTCTTTTCCTGTAAATAAGAAATAAGTAATATAACATATAAGTGATACAAAAATTAATTATAAATTCGTAGATGTAACAATTACTTCTATAGTAATAGTAATTATTTAATAATATCATTTTTACCTCATTAGCTTTCAAAAAATCAGCTAAGCCTTTGAATGGAGAGATTCCCGACTCCAAATCATCACGAACATTAGAAATGTAGGGCCTCACGTATTTGAATGATGAATCGCTTGGCTTTGGGTGCGAGTTGTACCTTTAAATTAAACAAATAAATTTTGAAAAAGTAAATATTAGTAATTCATTAATCAAGTTTATTATAATGATATAAAAAAGTATATAAAATAACCATAATTATCAATACCTTTCTTTGAATTCCACAATTTCGGGTACATCATCCATGTTTAGCTTGGTAGCATAAAAAATGTTACAAGCTTTTATAGATCCTAAAAGAGAATAATTTTTTTAGAGAACAACATAAATTATAAGTTATTAAAAAAAAATTAATTCAATGTTAATAACGTACCATCATCAAAAGCTCTCGCTCGGAAAAATTGCACAATTAATACACGCAAGTCAGTTACTGGATATTTGTTCAAGGCATCAACAATGACTTGCACATATTCTTCCCATAATGTGCAAGTCAAAAAGCAGCCCCTACAAAATAATAGATAGTTATTTTTTAATATGAAACAAATTCTTAATTACTTAAAAAAAACAAGTGCTTA